CTGGGAGGATTTTGCTTCACCACTGTCCTTCACGGTCACCTTTGAGTGGAGCTGTGGTGCTGCAACGGTCTACTTTCAAGTAGTGTCCGCTTATCATACAGATCTATATATGAAGCCCATATTTTTTTGTTTTTTTTGTTTTTTTTGTTTTTGTTTTTGTCATTAATGAGACATTTTTAAATTTTTATTTATTTATTATTATTTTTTAATATATTTTATTGATTTTTTTGCCCCCCTTCCTCCCTCCCATACATATCCTTCCTCCCCAGAGTTTTATGTCCATTGGTTGTACTTATATGCATGTACACAAGTCCTTTGGTTGATTTATTATCTCCCCCAGATCTTCCTCCCCTCCCCACTGTAATTTGACAGTCTGCCTGTTGCTTTACTGTCTCTATATCTGTCTCTTGGTTCATCAGTTTATAATGTTCTTTATCATCCATAAATGAGTGAGGTCATGTGGTGTTTCTCTTTCATTGATTGGTGAAGCCCATATTTTTCTTAATTAGCCAGCTGACCGTAGGAAACTTTTCATGGGTCCAGGATTTGGGTTAAGAGAGAGCAAGCAATGCAACAAGAATAGGATTCATGGGAATCTGTACTACTTGCTCCTGCAACTTACATGTGCCTTCAGGACTTGCTTGGGCCCAGTTTTGTATATACACTTTCACTTTATGATAGAGAGCTATTGTGTACGTTCAGATTATGGGTTGTTATTATAGATCAGACAGTACCATTTTATTATGGGCAACTCATGGTAAAATAGTGACCATGAATGCAGATTCTACTGAGACTGGTAGCCTGTCAAGTCTAATGCTGATTTTCAAGAGGAGAACAGTTATTTGTAGAGGGTGGCTTGCTCTGTTCCAAAATCTTAAAAGTTCACACTAGCTTCACTTCTAGGAATGTGCCAAACCTGACTTGCTTGAATTCAAGCAATCAGAATGATGTCTTGGTAGAGAACTAAGTGGAACATGTGATGCCTGAAATGGAGAATTGATCAAGATTTCTACAGACTAGATTATGATGGCGGGCTAGAGTTGCTGTAGCTCTGAGGTAGGGCAGTTAAGGTATATTGCTGGCCTTTTCAGTTGAAAGAAACTGGTTTTTATTAAAAGGATAAAAGAAATAGCTTCATTCTAAGTTGTCAAGAATATACTGATTTGCTCTAACAACAAAACTACATTTAAAAAACACACACAAAAAACTACATCTTTAACTGCATCTAAATTGGAGTCACATGTGATTATGCTTGCAGTAATTTACTGTCATTCTCTAACATCCATATACAGTCTGCAGAAACCAGATAGGTGAATTGAATACTGGTGTGGTTGGAATAACTATCCTTTTATCTTCTAAATCTCTGTAGTCTCTCAAGGAATATGGCATTACTTTTAACTTATTTTCCTAGGTAAGAGTAATTTAGGTAACCTCCATTTGCTTTTTATCCCCTGTAAGTCCCTCTCTCCATGTGTCAGGTAACCAGTATGGATAGTGTGCCAGTTTCTGCATTTGTCTTTTCTAACTATGCATTCCAAACTGGGGACATAACTGTGAGGTGGGTTCAAGTATCTTCTAGACCCACTGGAGACAGACCTTAGCCAAAACTCAGTTAACCACTTGACCTCTATTAACTCCTATCTTATCTAGTGAACCACAGTAGCATTTTAGTGTCCAGTTACCCTTATAAGTGTGGTTAGCTTCTCTTTCCTAGTGTATGATTATCCTGGTAAAGGGTTGCACGATTCTTTGAGAACCCATCCTCTTTTTTTCTTTGAGAACCCATACTTTTTTTTTTTTTTTTTTTTTTTTTTTTTTTTTTTTAAAGCTCAGTCCTTTGTCTTATCTTCTCTCTCCATTAATTCTTCCCTTTAGGGGTTTTTCAGGAGACTAAAGTAGATAAGACAGTGCTTGAGAAGGTGGAGGAGATAAGAGTCACCTCATTCATTGCAATTTTACTGTTTCTATTGTGGAACAGTAGATTACTGAGGTAATAACACCAACTTGAAATATAGTGGTTTATCTGAGTCATGTAAAAATACTTAGTTTTTGAGATTGTCTAAAGGGAAACATTTAAATAGAGGGCTTAGAATCTTTTCTTATGCCCTTTTCCCTCCTGTGAGCTTGAAAAGATTACCCGGAATGTACTTAAAAGTGAGAGAGATTGAAATAGGCAGGATGATGTAAAAATGTAGGCTGCTGCCCATGTCAGAGACACACACATACAGGGTGAGGGACAAACAAATTTAGAAGATTTTCAGTTGTTGTTTCTGAAATACAAAGTGTTCTGAAGCATTCTTTTTTTCATTTGGACTTTTGAAAAGCCATTTATGACCACTATTAAAACAATTTCTTTTAAGACTTTACTTTGATAGGAAAACTTTAATAGCCTATTTTTTGGGTGGCCATAGTGCAGTGATTAGACTATTATTAGATTAAATTAAATCAGTTAATAAGGTCCAGGGTCCTGAGTGATCCTTTCCTTTTATTTATAAGCATTTTGCCAAATAAAGGGACTAGTATCTATATATATATAAAAAGGCTAAGTGACCCACCATATGTCTATCTGACTATCCAACCAACCGACCAGCTGGTAGCTATGATGCACTCTGACCACCAGGACCAGAAACCACAGGCATGGAAACAAGGAACAGATTGATGAACCTCAGAGGGAAGCGGGGAGAAGAGAGGGCAGGAAGATATTCGCTAAACATCTTTTATGCATACTAGAAGACTGGTGCATAGATTCGTACACTAGTGGGGTCTCTTGGCCTGGTCTGTGGGAATCAAGTCGAAAATGGCTCTCCAACATCACCCGAGGAGTCCATCACAAGAGGGCACAGGCCAGGCGGAGGGACCTTTCTGGTGCACGAATCCATGTACCGAGCCTCTAGTTTAAAAATAAACATCAGCTTGCGCATACTCGATACATATAAAGCTCTCACTGGTGCCAATTACATGCATGTGTTTCAATCTGTTATTGTTGATCATGAATTCTATTATAGAGAAAGGTTGAACAGTGATATTAAAATATTTCTTCTAATTAATTTCCTTTTAATGTGCATGAATTTGTGCACTGGGCCACTAGTATTTATTTATTTATTTATTTATTTATTTATTTATTCATTTATTGCAGGTCACTAGTCTTTTATAATGGATGGATTAGAACATAAAACATTCTTTGTATTATATTTCAACTGAACTTTATTGCATAAACATTTTCAGACAAAGAAATGAAACTTTATTTTATGCAGAATATAAAAATGTATATAGGTCAGTTAGGAGAGGGCATTTTGTTTCTTACCCCTCAATACTCATATTGAGATGATTTTATTCTTTTGAATTTTTAAGAGGAAGTTTTCTCCCTTATTATAAACGCTAGCAGATTTTAGTGTCTTTTAATGATTTATTCATGGTCTACTTTTGTAGTAGCAAAAGAAAAGAATTATATATTACTTTTTAAAATCTTGTGCAAGAGAGCAATTTTAAAAATATATATTTGGTAAGACCTTTAATTAAAATTTTAATGAGTTGTCTTTTCAACTCATAGTCATTATAGAGTATTGTCTTCTCCATTATTACGGCTTACTGCAGTGTCATTTTTTCCTCCCCTCCTGGCTGGGATATGTGTTTTTTTCCATATTACCTTTGTTTTTTAAGTTTATATTCTTCTCTTTAGGAAAATCTGAGGTGTATCCATACTTAAGATAGTATTTAAATTATACTATGATGAATGTAATAAATTTATTTATAAAATCTTGTCTAAGATTAAAATTCTAAAAATAATCAATTCTCTGAGGTGAATAAAGTTGGTTTATTGTTAACCAAACATTTCTCTCCTTTTTTTCATTTCTTTCCTTTCTTACTGTATTCTTCCTTATTCCCCTCAGTTCTATAATTGCACACTTGAAGAATGGATGAATGATTTTATATAATTATTTGCTTACTGTCTCTCCTCTTTTTTTACTGTAAATTCTGTGAGCACAGACTATCCCAATCTTGTTTATTTGTGTGCCTAATGCCTAGGATTAGTACATATTAATAATTCAGTAAATTAGTTGATTGAATGAATCAATGAATAATAAAAGAAATCCTATGAATGCTTTTAAAACAATTATCTTTGTTGAAATGTGTTTCTTGTCTATTGAAGGATTTAGAATGTATATTACAGGGAGAAATAATAGGATAGAATATATTTGTAATAAGTATGTTTTAAAATTTGCTACTTTTTTTTTTTTAACAAAGCATAGTACAATAAGCAATCAATTTAAAGTGGTTTTTGAAATTAAACTTTTAATTATTTTGGATTAATATTTTGAACTACATTTTCCCATGTGACCTTGATTAGCTCAACTAAAAAGCCTAACAAAATTAAAATAGTTTGAGGGCATAATACGGAAATACTCATATTTTTACAAGGAGTATCAGTTTTAAGGGTTTTAATTGAAACATGATGTGGGTCTATGTAGATAATAACATATTCATTATTTTAAATTGTAACTTGAGAATTTTAAGGATTGAAAAATATTTCCAAGCATAACAGAAAATTATGTGCCTTTGGGTTCAGAAATTATTATTTTTGCTAAATAGGCCTGACTGATCAGAAACACAAGGACCAAAGTAAGTGTATGTAACTCCCAAAACAATGTTAGTGTAGACTGTTCATTTAACTGTTAGATATCAGGTGTGTACAAACACTTTGATTACTTAGGAGATAGAGGGGGGAAAAAAGAGTTCCCTATTGACTATAGTGTGGGCCTTGTAAGATATGAAGTGGCCATAAATTAGAACTTGGCATATTATGAACTTAATTTGACCACTTGTTTAGAAAGACTATTAATATTTGACTATACTGCAGTGCACTCTGAAGAATGATTCAACGCAGTGTTTCTTAATGTCTTTTCAGCTCTGTCTAATTGTAATATCTCTGTTACTGTTTGCTTAGCTTTTGTCTCCTTGTAATGTGAAGAGTATACTTTTCATCCTAAGTTTTTCCCTAGGCGTCCACAAAGACAAAGCTAAACCTCCCAGCTTCTCTGTTGTCCTTGAGACTCTGAGGCGTACCTTGACAGATTACCAGAACAAGCTGGAAGATACATCTAATGAGGTAACACTTGCACTGTTTGGCTCCACACATATAGCCTTCGGCCTGCAGCAGTACATATCCCTTGCTTGTTGCAAAGGTAAAAAAAATTGGGAATATTGACTTGGCAGCTTCACAGATATAAAAAATAATAAATTATATGTCACTGTTCTTTAAGTGTGGCCTAAAGTTGTGCCTCATTTATGTTTTTGTAACTTAGGTCACACTGTTATTTTCGAAGTTATAAAGACTCTGCTACTCTTGGACTTCAAAATCTATTTTAATTTAATATAAAAGCTATGCAAGTCATTTCTCTTAATATGTGTTATATTTAAATTTTAATGTGGTTTTATGAATTTGCAATAGGTAGTGGAAATTTAGATGTTAATATTTTAGGTTAAGATTTCTACAGATTGTAAAAGTCTGAATAAAGAAGAGGAGATGCTAGTTTTCATTCTTTAAAGTGAGTAAAGTGTTGATGTAAGTTTTTTAAAAACAATTGTCTCTTTGATGCAGCCTGGAGGTTTTTTAGTTTGTCAATTGAAAAAGCTCATGCTTCTGTTTATCATCTCATTTGTATTATTTACTGTGTGGGTTGATAATTTTCTTGGGTATTAAAATATTTAATGAATCTGTGCTTTAAAAATTGAAGAGTTTGCTTAGTTACATTTTGTCAAATTAGAGAACATTACATACAATTAGTAAAACAACAGACATTGTTTGAACCAAAAACAAACTACATAAGCATGAAAATTTAATGTTTATCCTTCTGTTCATTTGTTTCATTCATACAATATGAAGACTATAAAAATATTACAGTTCACATTTCAGAAGGGGCTTATTTTACTTTAGTTTAAGAAGATAAATAAAGAAGGAAAAGTGAGCCTTCTCAGTTGTTCAAAAGGCATAAAAGAAAGTGACAATTGAAATAATTAAATTTCTATAGAGAATAAATATTGCTAAGTCTTTCCCTGTGAGACAAGACAACCTATATTGTTAGTAGTTTATGAAAGTCTTCTGAGGCCTCGGACTGGAAGCTGCAGGGTAACTAGGAACATATTACCCACAGCGAATTGTTATTTGGGAGGATGGATGTCACATGATCCTCAGCACAGTTGAAAAGTCGGCTCAGCAGGCTTTGGCTTAGTAATGCGCTTTGTTGTGAACCAGTGCCAGAGACAGCAGTGGGGAGACCAAGGGGGTGGCTGCAAAGAAAGCAAAAAGAGCAGTCTGACAGAAAGAAGAATGAACTGTCAAAGAAAATAAATCACAAGCAGAGCAGGACCAACTGATGACCTGCCACAAGCCTTCCCAGTAGGACGGCATGTGACCGACCCTGAAGTTGTCATGTGGAGTGAGAGACCAGTGAATACCCTCATGATGTATGGAAAGAACAGTCTTCTGCTCTGTCCTTTTTTCCTTCCTTATAGATGCCACTGCTTCTGGCATTTTGGTCCAGAAGGATTTTAAGAATAAAGTTATATTTGCTTATAGTGAGAATGAAATCCTTTGTCTGACATCTTGTGAAAACATAATAATATCACTGACGTTTTAAGCTTGAATGCTTTCTTTTTAACCATCTGAGCTTGGGACAGAAATTACCTAGTTAACCAAAAGAAATTTTTAAGACTCTTCATTACTATTCAAAAGTGTATGTTAAGTAACTGCATAAAAAACATTTAAAGATTAGCTTTTGAGCTACCAATCCTTGAAAAATATAAAGAAGTTATTTACGTTTTCTTTATCAGCTAAACAGTGTGAATGACGCCAAGGAAAAGACATCTACTGAACTTGATTCTACCAAACAGAAGATAGAATCTCACACTAAAAATATAAAGGTATTGATTTAAAAAAATTTCTTCTATTGTATTAAGAGACAAATATAATTGTTTAGGGAAACTTTATGGTAGAGATATCTGAAAAATATGCTTTCTATTTCTTATTAAGTACATTTGGATACAACTTTAATTTTTTATTATTGATCAAAATAACAAGAATGTTTTTCATTAAAAAATAAAACTTAACTAGAAATTTTTCTGATTAATGGAAATATTTATTTCCCAGACTTAATTACAATACCATGGATCACAAATTTAAGGTTTAATGTCTGCTCTTAGACACATAGTAAACATTTTACATAAGCACATCAATATTTGGGGTCAGTTTCCATCATTTTGGGTGGAACCATTGTTTTTAGTACGTCATGCCTAGTAATGGGCCAAGACCATGCCTAGTAATGGGCTCAAGTCCAGGAAAATTGTTTATTTTATTTTCTGTACCATTTTTATGTAATACGTTTTTGCAGAACTGAAGCAGCTCTCAGAGTTGCTCAATAGTGTTGTTGTTGGTTTATATTGCATTTGTCCTTGACATACTTTATAGAATTTAAGATTAAGGAATAAATAGTTCAAAAATTTGTGCCACATATTTTAGATTTATATTAGCATTTGGGATTTCATGGAGAAGGCAATGTTGTTATATTAAATATAAGATTTAGTCTTAAAATGTTATTTATAGGTATTTAAAGATTTTGGGGTTACCAAATTATATTTTTTTAATGGATTGAAAGAAAAGAACTTCTTGGAATAAGCTGTCTTATTAACACTTTATGTTTAAATGCTAAAACAACCAATTTTCTAATCTTATAGCTAAAATAATTGTACTTAGACAATATGTTCAATAAAAAAACCCATAGTTTTTGACAAATGCTCCCCTTTGTGATTCTTTTATGGTAAAGTTTTGGAAATCTTCATGTGGATGTTATATTTGTGCCTCCCACCCCTATATTGGCCTGCCATCATATGGCCTCTGTTTTTGGTGTCTCCTACAGGACCTTCAGGACAAACTGGCTGATGCCAATCAGGAGTTGAGTCATTTACACAGTAAGTGTGCAGACAGAGAGGCTCTGGTCGGCACTTTAAAAGTGGAGCTACAGAACGTGCTACACTGCTGGGAGAAGGAGAAGGCACAAGTGGTCCAGTCCCAGTGTGAACTGCAGAAGCTTTCCCAGGCTTTCCACAAGGACTCCGAGGTACCACCTGAGTCAAGATGGCCGTTTCACTAGTCTCAGTTTCATAAGTTTACATACTTCAGCTGGCTGTTTTTACTCTTATTTGATTTAATCAAAAAGTTCTGAGCTGATCATTTTGAAATATTCATGCCAGCTGCAAAATCAGTCACTCCATTACTCTGTGCCATCCTGTTTCAAGGAAGAAGTAATGTAGATTAACCCTTCTATCACTTGTACAACTAACATATTGCAATAACTATGATCCTAACAGCCCTTTCAAGGTTGGCTTGATTGCTAATGATAAAATTATTATTATTTTTTTTTTATATTTCAGTATTTAGTATCTAGGCATGGTAGAAAGAATATGTGTTGTTTGTTTTTTTGTTTTTGTAATCAGAAAGAACTGGACTTGGGTCCTGGGGCTTTTATTTACAAACTATGAGTATGAACAAGTCACACGGCTTAGTCTCTCCATGTCTGAGTTTCTTTATTTGCAAAACAGGAATAATATTTACTTTAATAGCCAGTCAGTCTCCTTGCTCTTTATATAAAAATTTAGGAAAAAACCCCCAACAAATCCCATAAAATTAAAACTTTATTTGGGTGCCCTAGAGAGTGGCTTTCCATTTTCATTTTCATTTATTAACCACTTCTTAAAGTATGATGAAAAAATTTCATAGTATGAGCTGGGTGAATGGAATTATATGTTCTTTTACCCAGGGGATGTGGAGCTAGTCTGGCTAGTGTGAAACTGGTTTATCTGAGTCGTCCGGCATATTGAGTTCATTACTTCAACAAATATGAACATGCATGCCAAAAGCGTAAAAAGGAAACATTCCTTCCCCTCTTCTTGCAGTCTGGGATTTAAATTGTGTCCACATGAAGGGCCTGGAATTGTTCTACACATCAGATAGTGATTAAAGTAAAGGAAACTAGAAGCCTGACTATATTGTAAAGTCAGCATGTCTACAACAATGTGGTTGGGTTCAACATGTGTGAATTGATTTTGGATCCTGAGATTCTCTTTTCACGCCAAATGGATGATTATCATGCATGGTTTATCACAGCCCAAGCAAAAAGGACATAATGGCGACACAATGAATTATCCTTGAAGATGAACTCTCAATGGCAAAATGTGCAGGGAGGAGGTTTTAAGTGCCTAAACATTACATTTGCTTAGTTATATTTAATAAAATTTTTAAACATCTCAGCCCAGTTGAAAATACAAAAGACATCTTTAATTGCTTAAAAAAAGAAAATGGCATAGCATATTTATGAAGACTCCTGATATGCTAACTCAAGTTTATGATTTTAATCACTATTTAATTTTCTTTTGTTTTTAAATGGTTATGTTTGGAAAAAAGTAAGGTGGCATATAGAGAATTAAGATATGTGTATCTTAATTTCTCACAAAAGAAACGTTGCCCACTCATTTCTAATTATAAACCTTTACATATGCTGTATTCAGTTTTTTTTTTTCCTATTTGAATATGTTTTCATTGATTTTAAAGAAAGGGTAAGGGAGAGGGAGAGATAAAGAAACATCAGTGAGAGAAACTACAATTAGACAGAGGGAGAGATATTACAATTAGAGCTGAAAAGAAACCAATCGGCTGCCTTCTGCATACCCCCTACTGGGATTCTGCAACTTGGGCATGAGCCCTGACCAGGAATCATACCAGTGACCTCTTGGTACATGGTATGTCACTCAACCAACTGAGCAACACTGCACATATATTCAGTTTTTCTTATCTAGAAGATGAGAATTTCTATATTTTCCCTCTCAAAATCTCCCCTTTAAACATTTTTTTTCTCATATGTTAAAAAAAATCTTGAGGGAATTAATTTTATCTACATAAAATATTCATTTTTCAGCTTCACTGTTCTCTTTGTCTTGAGTTCCATTCTTTGGGACTGTACAGGGGAAACATCTTATAAAGACAGCATCGGGCTTTTTAGTAAGTAAACTTTCCTTGTGTGTTCAAGATGGGATCATTTTTTTACTGACTTCTACAGCAGAATATTTCTAGGTAATTAAACAATAGCTAGTTTTGATATTGTAATGGCAGTATAATTTTAAAGAACTTTTTCTACATAGTTCTAATTGGACGGTTTTGAAAGGATATCTTGGACAGCTATGTACATTTTAAAAAAATTCTTCCTAGTGTTTGAACAGCTACAAATGCCCCTGTGCCAAACACCATATGAACTTATAAGCGGGCAAAATAAATGAGCCCATCTTCCATATCTTTCATATCACTGTCTGCTTTGCCTGAGGGGCTTGGTATAGATTTTCTTTAAGTGGTAAGTAAGCTGGAATCTCTGGAGGGGGGTGGGAGCTGAGTAATTGTGTGCCTGTGAAGTACAGATATTGGCATAACATTTTCTCTGACAGAGTTGAGTAACACTTCTCTCTGTAATGGTGTTTTGACTTAAAATAACATCTGTTTTAGCAAATGCAAATATGAAATTACAGAATTACCACACAGACTTTCAGTTAGGATACCTTGGAAACAACTTGTTCAGATTCCTTCTGTTACAGATGAAGAAGTTGAGGCCTGAACTCACTAAGACCACCTCCTCAGTAGTAGCAGAGCTGGGTCAGAACGCTGGTCTTCTGGCTTATAGATTTCAGAATTTGGTTTTGAACACTAAGTTTAAGCCATTCCCAATTTCTATCTGATGCTAGTTTTGATTGTAAAAAAAAAAAAAAAAGTCACAAAGTGATAATAATCTGAGACTTGAGTATTTTAATTCCTTCCCAAGTTTTTGAAATAAATTATTTACATTATATATTATGTGTTTTACTTATAACAATGTTTATATACTGGAATTAATTTCCCTTTTTCTCACAGGAGAAGCTAACCTTCCTTCACACCTTGTACCAGCACTTGATAGCAGGCTGTGTGCTCATAAAACAACCAGAAGGCATGCTGGATAAATTCTCCTGGTCTGAGCTTTGTGCAGTCTTGCAGGAGAATGTTGATGCCCTGATCGCAGACCTCAACAGGGCTAATGAGAAGGTAACTGTCCTCAGGCACCAGATACCTCTATTAAATTCAGTGACATTTGTCCACATCACAGTATCATTAAGAGGGGCTGACATTCATCTTATTTCAAAAAGAATTTGGATGTTAATAATTCAATACCATTAATTATGGCTTGTCTACCACTCAGTTTGATGCCATTGCTGTGGGCATGTAAATGTGACTGAAGTCTGTATGAAGTCTCTAAGCTCCACTTTCTGTGCAGGACATGCTAATACTACTAGCCAGTATTAGCCACAGGGACCTAATTAAAAGAAAATAAATTAATCTTACTGATGAAGCAATTCAAAGAACTTAGCCATTTACATTAATAAACCAACTCTTTATGTTAGCATAAAATAGAAACAAGATACAGTTCTTTAAAAACATGATCTTAAAATTCTTTGCTTAGGAAATAATGAGGCATTAAAAGCAGTTAACATTTTAAATTATGTTTATAACATTTCTTGAAATATAACAAACTGTGTATTACCAAACCCATTCAGTGCTATAGATTGTAAGAAGTATATATTATAGGAGAGAACGGTAGGCTTCTATTATAGTCACTTTATCATTCACAAGCTTAGAAATTCAGTTTTTCAAAAAAAAAAAATTTAAAGACTTTCTTTTGGTTATGGAAAATCAAAATGGCTTAGGAGACTTAACATATGTTACCATTAAAAATATTGATTCTTATCCTGGGTCTATTGAACTAGTCAGAACTATGTTTAAGTGGTCTAGTTTCCAGATCTTAGTTATAATGACATTTGCTCTTAAGAGAAAAGAAAAAACTGTCCCCCAAAGTTTATTTTTAACCTTGGCCCAATTTAAGGGTGAGTTAGGACATTTTACCTTGGTCTGATTGCAAACACTACCATAGAAACTGAGAAATGGGATTGAGGAAATGAGAGAATAAATTGTGAGCTACAGATACTGTTCATGATTGTGAATGTGTGTATTATGGGTTTGAAAATTACTGATAATAAAAATCAACTCATGTTTTAACCCTCTGAGATGCTGTTATCCTTTAATAGATTGTCATAGTTTCAAAACATCATTAATTGTCATACAAGTTAGGCGATTTTCTTTACAATGTTTTGAATGTGAAATAAAAAATGGTTGGAAAATTCTGCTTTATTATATGTTATATGTTTGTAGATATGTAAATCTCATTTAAATACTTACTTTCCCATTGAAATATCTTAATAGATTGAACTTTGGATCTAGAAGTAAGAATATTCTTCTCAATTATTATTATTTTTTTTAGTAAAATGGGTCTTAGAATGAGTAATGTTCTTAGAAAAAGAAGAATAAAAGATTTGTCATCTAAGTATACATATGACACCATTTTGCGCCAAAAAATGATAATTTGCTTTACTAATTTCTGTTTCATAATTTCCTTTAAAAATATTTTTATTGCCTTCAGGGAGGATGGGAGAGGAAGAGAGAGATATCAACATTAATGATGAGGGAGAATCATTGATTGGCTACCTTCTACTGGGGATTGAATCCACAACCCAGGCATGTGCCCTGACCTGAAATTGAACTGTGACCTCCTACTTCATAGATTGACATTTAACCACTGAGCCATACTGGTTGGGCATCATCATTTATTTATTTTAATTTTAACTTAGAATGTTCATATTATCTCAAGGAATAAAATATATTGGAACATTTTGGATGTTTTTGGGAGAATACCTGGAAATTGTTTGTCAGCATAGCTTTTTCTCTGATGCACTTCCCCATTTAGATAAGTCATCTGGAGTATATCTGTAAAAACAAGTCTGATACGATGAGAGAGCTTCAGCAGACCCAAGAGGACACCTTCAACAAAGTGGCTGAGCAGATCAAGGCCCAGGAGGGCTGCTGGCAGAAGCAGAAGAAGGAGCTGGAGCTGCAGTACTCGGAGCTCCTCCTGGAGGTGCAGAAGAGGGCACAGGTATGCAGCTTGCACAGGGCGTTATTCAGATGCCATTGTCAAGTCAGTTAAAACCTCCTGATTGCCACATAAACTTGGTGGGCACAGGTGATACACATGATCACGCCAATATAAATGGATATATATATATATATATATCTTGTATGTGCATGAGTACTAAGAATTGTCTATCACTGAACTATGGAAGTAGATTGGTTTCTGGTTAAAGTATCTCAGAATACATTGATCAATTGATTGCTAAAATTGTATTGCCTTCATTTACTTTTAAAATAAAAGGTTAAGAGGTTTGGTAAAATATTTTCAGTTTCAATGTAGATATTTTTTTAAATCCGCTTTACTCCACTTATAGGGGTTCCTATGTGAACCATCATTTTAATTCTTTTGGGGTTGAAATTTGTTTTACCTCCTAACATTGTATAAGAATTACAGTTGTAGACCCTGTAGCAATATAATTAACTGTGAGATGTATTATGTCTTCTATATTGGATTCCATTGAGAGTAGAAGCTATGAGTAGTTAATCATATTTTTTCTTACACAAATTTTTGTCAACTTAATTTATTATTGTTAACTGTTATTCCTGCCCAATCAGGAATAAAATATGGTAGTGTATATGTGTTTTTTTTCATATTGAATTTAATAATGGCTCCCTTTTTCTCAAGATAGGAGACTTAGGAATCAGAAGGTTATATATTCTTCCCATGAATTCACTTATGCCCTTTTCTGTGAATTTGAATGAATTAATACACTCTCTTCAAGTAACCATTTGTTCATTGTATGAAGGGTGCCTTGTGATATGCCCTGCATTTTCTACTACTGAAATAAAAATCCTAAACAATTTATAATTTTTAGAAGTAGCATTGACATACAGTGAAGTGAACAAATCTTTCATGTACAATTTGATGTTTTGATCAATGCAAACACCATGTAAGCATCACCCTACTTAACACTTAAAACATTGTCATTACCCTAGAAAGTTCTCAGACCCACACCATTTGTTCAAGACTTTCCTTTCCTCTTTGAATAGCTTCTTCCCTTTGTGAAAAAAACAATTGACATCAGTTTGTTGTTCATTTTCACAGAACAGTAGGTCCTTGGGTTATGCTGGAGATCCGTTCCTACAGCATGACTTAACATGTAGGTTGGAACCCACCTACATGAGCAACTGTGTTACTCACATGGAGCACATACACAGCAGTAATGAAGTGAAACAGTAAAAATATTTTAAAAGAAAGATAACAATTCCTGACCTTTACTTGTGGTAAATAAATAATAAAAAACATAATGCACATATGTACATACGTCACAGTGATGGAACTTTTAAAAAAAAATAAATAAATGGGAGATGGTGACGTAACCATGAAACAATGTACATTGAGACTGATATAAGCTGAGGACTGCTTGTACTGCCTTTTCCAGAATGTCATATGAATGGAATTATACAGCATGTAGCCATTTGTGTCTCATTTTTTCACTTAGAAAAAATGTATTTGGGATTCATTACTGTCCTTATGTTTACCAGTAGTTCTTTTTTTTTTTTTTTTTATATGCATTTTATTGATTTTTTTTTTTTTTTTTTTTTTTTTTTTTTTTTTTTTTTTTTACAGAGAGGAAGGGAGAGGAATAGAGAGTTAGAACATCGGATGAGAGAGAAACATTGATCAGCTGCCTCCTGCACACCCCCTACTGGGAATGTGCCCGCAACCAAGGTACATGCCCTTGACCAGGATTGAACCTGGGACCCTTCAGTCTACAGGCCGACGTGTTATCCACTGAACCAAACCAGTTAGGGCAGTTTGTTCTTTTTTATTGCTGACTGGTAATCCATTGTATGGATGTACCATGTTTGTTTATCTAGATACTTGCTGATGGGCCTTTAGGTTGTTTATTTTTTGGCAATTATAACTTAATTTATGCACTGAGGGGGGGGGGTTCCTCAGCTCTGCCTGCCCCCTCTCAGGAGCTGGAGGTGACCCCTCGATCAGGGGAATGCGATGCCCCATCACACCTCTGCTGCTGCCACTGCTGGCAGTGCAAGCCTCAGCTGGCCTTGGTTTCCTGAGCCTCGGGCGGCCCCAAGCATCTGGGCAGCTGCCATCTGAGGCTTTACTGTGCCTTGGGCCAGCCCTAAGCGGCTGGGGGCGCTGAGGGGACTGGGAGACTCTGGAGACAGGCACGTGGAGTGGCCTGGCCTTCCAGGGGAGGGCCTGACCTTGCTGCATGCCTGCCATCCCGGCAGAGCTGAGAGGACTGGGTGCTATCATCTTGTGGCAGTAGGCGCCACGATCTTTGAGGGCAGGGCAGTCAATTAGCATATTCCCTTCTTATTGGCTGTGGGTGCCGCCATCTTTGTGATGGCATGAGGCTCATTTAGCATATTCCCTCTTTATTAGATAGGATGCTTTAAATATTCATGGATAGATTTTTGTGTGATCATAAGTTTTCATTTCTCTTGGATGAGTACTTGGGAGTTGATTTCTGGGTTACAAGGTAAGTGTATATTTAACTTTATATGAAACTGCAGGGCAGTTGCGCCAGGAGCTGCCCCTGCCTCCTGCTGTGCGAGAAAGCACCCTGCGGGGGGGGGGGGGGGGTTGGGACCTGTGCCTGACCTTTGTAGCACCGGCCGCTGCATTGTGTCTGCTGGGGTGGGCACAGGTGCTCCTGTGTGTTGTGTCTTCACTCTGGCCCGCCCCCACCTCCAGCCTCTCTGCAGCCTCTGGGGCTGGGGGCGGCACCCAGTCCCCTCCCACCCAACTGCAAGCACAGCTCCTCCTGAGCGGTCGTAATACAGCCTTCTCCTGAGCATTTATGATGCCTGGCTAATTAGTGTGTGTGTGTGTGTATATATATATATATATATATATATATATATATATATATATATATATATATATAATTATTACATTGTTTTCCAAAGTGGCAGTGCCATTTTGTATTCTCACAAGTAATGTAAAAGAGTTCTAGTTGCCTTGCCTTTGTGCCAGCATGCGGTTTCATCACTTTTTCTTTTTAGCCAAATAGGTGTGTAGTGGTATGTCATTGTGGTTTTAATTTACATTTCTTTCTAGTGAATGATAATACTGAACATTTTTTCATGTGTTTACATTCCATCTGTATATCTTATTTGGTGAATTATCTAGTCATATATTTTTTTCAGTTTTAATTGGGTTGCTTGTAACCTGGGCATGTGTTTTTGACTGGATTCGAACCTGGCCCTTTAGTCTACAGGCTGAGACTCTGTCCACTGAGACAAACCAGCAAGGGCATTCTCACATTCTCTTAAGAATACATTTGTACAGAAAATATTGAAAATTTTTATAAAGTCTTATCAATTTTTATGGGTGTACTTTTGGTGTTGCATCTAAGAATTCTGTTTAATATATAGTCATTAGGATTTCTCCTATTTTTTCTTCTAGATGTGTTATAATTTAAGTTTTACATATTCCTTTATGATCAATTTTGAGTTAATTTTTATAAAGGTGTGAGGTATGGGTTAATGTACATTTTTTTTGCATGTGGATGCATTCTAATAATTTTTGTTGAAAAGACTATCCTTCCTTATTTGTACCTTTGTAAAAAAATCAATTTTATATTTGTGTAAGTATATTTCTGGGCTTTCTCATTTGTTCCATTTATTTATCTGTTATTTTTTCAACATGACACTAATGTGATTACTGTAACTTTTTAGTATGTCTTAAAATTAGGTCATGTGAGTCTTCCAACTTCATTTTCTATCAGTTTTTGAAATCACTTCTTTTATTCTGAATCTTCAGGAGAGCATAGCAATTTACTTTCTAAAGTAAGGGAGTTAGTCATTGCAGTTGCTAATGTTATAAGAGAAGCTCACACTGAAGGCTTTTCTCTGAAGAATGTGTTATAACCTAGGTTTTGATCCATGAGTATGCAAAAGTATCATTTTCATTATTCCTAAAAGTACATTAATATATATTTGCATACAACTTATATTACTTATGTACATATTTGAATTTTCTTAAAATGTAATTGAATATACAACAGCAATTTAATTGAAATTTATATTTGGCAAACTGCTGTTTTAATGTATATTACAGGCCCTATAAATTTTATTTTTGGAAAGTTTGTAATGATGAATTCTATATTTCCACTCTTCCTCCCAAAGCTATAATGCAAATAACAATACTTTAATTTTATAGTACTTATGCATTTTCAAAAATTATGTTAATGAGGTCATGAGGGGAAAAAAACCTGCAGTTTTTGCATAGGACAGTGGGTTGTAGAGGATGTTTGGTGTCAGATGAACATAGCCATTAATAGAGACCAGCTGCTGGGAAACATGACTTATCTACAGAGCCCTGTGTTTAATAGTTGGTATTGTAAAGACTTGGTAAGTAAAAGGCAGCTAGTTAAAGAAAAACCAGTTTTTGAATGTGAATTACTTTTATCTGAAAAAAACATAGTAGAGTTATTTGCAAGCCATTTGAATGTGTAAGCTTTAAACCAATTAATGGGAATGCTATTAGATAAATGAAACTTGTAGAATAGGAAGTTTGGTTTTAGCATTACAGCATTTAGTTTGCAGCATTAGGTAAAATGTGCTAGCCACATGGTTGGGTAATTCTTGAATTTAAATACCTTTGGAGCCATCCTGTAAATGTATCTGAAGCACCTGGGCTTGGTGCCACATTCCAGTCCATGTACTAAGTTTGCTTGTGTAGTCTTTGTATATAGTATGTTCTTATTTCTTTTCTACCTGAAAAAGACAAAATTGCAGGAACATGAACTTCCTTTCTAGAAATAAAGATTTTTCATTATAAGTTTAATATCATTAAGCCTTAATGTAATCCTTTTTGTAAACATTTTAATATGACATTTTTGTTAAATGAGTCTAGAATGGAGAACAAAAATCAAAGAAATTGAGATTTATTATAATATGCTGCATTTTCCCCCTCTTATACCATGATATTAAGAGTAGTTTTCCAAGAAATCTGGGTTAGTTTTAAAACTGTTATTAGATGTTGAA